CTTTCGTATTTCATAACCTATAACACTTCACTTTCACTGTATAAAATGATCATTATTATTATTTGACATATCGTTAATTGATCGTTCATTATTCTGGGTAATCGATATAAAATACAATATAAAAATTGTTAATACATTTTGATGGGCAAAATATATTTATTGAAACGAAGAATATTCATCGAGGCTGTATTTATAAAGATTAGTCAATACTTTCGTATTTCATAACCTATAACACTTTTCACTTTCACATATAAAACGTATTAATTGTTACGATGTAACTTTTCTCGTATAACCTAACCTACAAACAATTTTACATTTACATTTACATTTCTTACTTTTAAAATCCAATTCAAAATATTAATCGCGTATTAACATTTCTTTTTCACGTTTACTTACAATAATTAAATTTCACCTTTTACTATTAACATTTAACCATTACACACTTTCTCCCACTCGTGCTCTTCTCACGAAAAAATATTATCAGCCTCGAAAAACGAAAGGTCGCTTCTATAACGATTAACACGTCAAAGGCTCGAGCATTTTTCTCGCCAATCCTCCTCCGCAAAGCTTTGTAAATTTTCGCAATTTCCCATTTCTGTCCTGCGCTTTGGAGACGCGTGACGCTTCCAAATAAAAAAAAAAAGAAAAAAAAGGGAACACTCGGTTTCTGATGGAACCGTTACGATGGATCTATATTTTTTCCCCCGCGAATTTCCTCGCGTCACGACACGTGTGAGTAATTCCCCACGCTCACGCACCACCGAATATCGGACCGAGAACGGTTTTTCTCTCGCGGAGAGGAGGAAAATGGCCGAGAAGAAATGATGCATCGTGGAGAGGTCGCTCGTTTACACACACCATTTAAAATTTCATTTGATTTTTAATTCGTATGGAGGAGCGTTACAGAGTGATTTTGAAATTTAAAAAATTCGAGTAAAAGGAAATTTTACTTTTTTTTGGAGAAAAATTAAATTTGGAAAAATTCGCTCGATCCGATTAATCTTGTCTATATTTAACAGTGTGATGAGAGAATCTTTAAATTTATAAATCTTTAAATTTTTACTACAATTTTTTTTATTAATTTCACTTAAAATAAATCACTTGACGAGTATATTTCTAATAGAGAATAAGTGATTTCAAAATTTTAAATTTCTATAAATTGCGGTCTAATCCAATAATGCCTTGCCAATTAATATTTATTCCGTGAGAAATATTCGAGTTTTTCGTTCATTCTTATATTCCTCCAGAATCTATATTTCCGAAAACTTAATAATAATCAACGATATTTAAATAGAGCGGTAAATTAGGTTACCGACAATGAGCACTTTATTTGAAAGATTCTCTTCTTCTGTGCTTAAAAATACAGCTATAAAATCCTGGTCTTAATTTCCTTTACAATAAGCCATTATCGCTAATTGCTCGCTCAAAACTCAGAAATTTCTTTCTTTCACTCTTAGTCTCCTTTGTACCTTGTGCGCGTTCAGAATTAAATCGATGAATCGCACATTTTTCAAATCACAAATCAATTATTCTATGGATAAAATAATTATAATAAACACTAGTCGATTATCAACTACAGACACGTATCTAAAATTCTAAAATTCTCGTCAAAGATTCCTACACAATTTTACTCGGGCGTAAAATTCGTCTCTCGCCCAACAAACTTTACTCTCGAATCTTGAACGGCGAAGAAATACGCAGCCCGATATCGCTGCACGCGATGCGGGATCCGCTTTACCCGCGCCGCGAGAAATCGGACCCGCTGTAAATAGGGACATGCAAATAGACGAAAGGATCGGGCCGCAAACATGCAGACAGCCCTTTCGTCTGTTTCCTCCGACGATTCAATTTGCGCTGCGTACACAGTACGCTACGTTTCTGGATAAAATCGGTGGCGATGTTGATATCGTCGATATTC